TTCACACCCTTGTTACCTCCCGGCTGGACTATTGTAATGCTCCCTACATGGGGCTCCCCTTGAAGAGCACTTGGAGGCTCCAACTGGTCCAGAATGTGGCCACGCGGGTGGTTATGGGCTCAACCCATTGTGCCCACGTGACACCCCTCCTGCGCGAGCTGCACTGGCTCCCAGTGGTCTTCTGGGTGCGATTCAAGGTGTTGGTTACCACCTTTAAAGCGCTCCATGGCATAGGACCCTGGTACCTTCGAGACTGACTTCTGCCACCAATAGCCTCCCACTGGCCAGTCCGCTCCCACAGAGAGGGTCTCCTCAGGGTGCCATCGGCCAAGTTATGTCGGCTGGTGACACCCAGGGGGAGGGCCTTCTCTGTGGGAGCCCCTGCCGTGTGGAATGAACTGCCCCCGGAAATGTGTAAGACCTCTGACCTCCGTGTATTTCGCTGTGCCCTCAAGACCCTGCTGTTCCACCAGGCTGGGCTTTCAATGTAATGATTTTAAATTAGGTGTTTTAAATTTGGGGGGTTTTAAATTTGAACCGAAACTATTTAATAATTTTAATTATTTTTAATTGATATTTGTCTTTGTGCTTTTAATAGGCTGTACACCGCCCTGAGTCCTCCGGGAGAAGGGCGGTATAGAAATAAAATTATTATTATTATTATTATTATTATTATTATTATTATTATTATTATTATTATTATTATTATTATTATTGCTTCCAAGGCTGCTTCCGCATCTTTACTGGAAGTTGGAAGTTTTCTGGAACGCTGACACTTAGAGCATTGGTAAATCAGGAGGTGTCCATGGATTCAATGACTTCAATGTGAACAGCTTGAATGCTAAGACATGTGAAGAGAATGGCCCAATGTTTGTTGTTAGCTTGGCCACCTCTGGTCTGACGGGCAGACATGAACCATGGGCCAAAGATGTCCAAATCTACATTGGTGAATGGTCCCCATATTCAGAAAGCATGTTTCTCTCCTCCGTTGCAATTTGTAATGGCCGGGGCTTTGTTCTACACACAGGCAGAAAGCCCCAGTGCCCAATCAGACACTCAGATGTGGTCACATGTCATGGACTACGTCTCCCACAATGCAATCTCTTAAGGAGACAGCTCTTAATTCTTAAAGTAACTAATTTACTATTTAAGCAGCACAAGAGCTATTCCTCTTTATTGAATATACAAGTGTGTTTACTTTGTAGACCACAGCATACTGTGGATAGCCTTTAAATTTCTGCTAATTAACAATTAGAAAAGAATATGGAACAATTAAATTTTGGTCCAAAAATAGAAAAAACAGTGCAGTAAGATTGCATACTGTCACCTTGTGTTTTAATTTATAGGCAAACTATATCATGAGAAATTATGGACTAAAAGACAGAAAATGGAATTAAAATTGCTGGGAAAAACATCAACTTCAGATATGCTGATGATACTTTGATAGATGTTTTAGAGAATGTCTTGCTGAAAATAAAGGAGTGCAAAATTGATTGCTGCTTAAAAAGATTATTTCAGCAGACAACTGAATGCAAATATACACAGAAACAGAAATCGATTTTATTCTGCTAGGCTTAAAATTTTACAGAGATCGTTGCTGCAACCATTAAATAAAGAAATGTCTACTACTTGGGAGAAAGTCTGCAACAAATTTAGACAAGATATTAAAGGCATCATATTGACAGCAAAGGTATGCACTACTGAGGTTAGTTGTAAGATATGGCTGTGAAAGCTGGGCCATGAGAATAAATAAGAATAAATAAATAAATAAGAAGAATAAATCATTCAATATTACATGAAGTAAACTAGACTTCTCATTGGAAACTAATAACGAAGCAAACATTTAGATATGTTGGAACCTAATATGAGGTTGAGAATCATTGGAGAAGACCTTGATGTTTAGAAAAAGCCAGATGAACAAGACACTGACAAAAAAACAAGATAAATTGATACTATCACTGATGACACAAAGTTAAACTTATGATTCTTTGATTATATGAAGAATTCAAGGAAATAATATCCACTGAGTCAAAAAAATAAAGAAGTGACTGACTAATAATTTTAGGATGCAAAAAACTTCAGTGTAAGAGGAAAGATAAGTCAATTACAAATTCACTCATATACCAACAAGGATAAAAATAAATTATCAAAACATGCATGTATGTGATGCATATGTTATTAAAGCATGACTACAGCTCAATGGTGAAATCTAAAAATTTTCGCCACCGGTTCTGTGGGCGTGGCTTGGTGGGCATGGCCTGGCAGTCATGTGACTGGGTGGGCATGGCCAACATGATGTCACTCACGTCTCTCTCTCTCTCTCTCTCTCTTTCTTTCTTTCTTTCTTTCTTTCTTTCTTTCTTTCTTTCTTTCTTCCCTCTCCCTCTCCCTCTCCCTCTCCCTCTCTCATGCACACACCTGGTCTGAGCGGCTGCTGAGGGAAAAGGAAGAAAGTGCTCCGGGAGGGCAGGTGGCCTGGCCCGGAAGTGGCACATCCCCCGTCATGGGCTGGATGCAGGCAGTGGGACCCGAGGCGGAGGGGAAGGCAAGCAGGCGGCAGTCTCCCAAAGGCCCTGCGGAAGTTGAGCACGCCAGGCCCAAAAGGCAAGCGAGCCTCACCATGTTCCCCCGAGGAAACTCTTTAGCCGAGCACAGCGGGTCTCCCTTCCCCACCACCAGCATCGGCAATACATCTGCCCACCCTCCCGGGGCTGCCCATGCACACCCCAGTGGAGCAGCAGTCTCGGGTTCAACAGCAGCAGCAGTAGAAGGAAGAAAGCAAGTGGCCCCTCTCAGTGTCGGTGGCACCGCCCCTCTCAGCCCCAGCACAATGTTGCATTTCCCCCAAGGGCCGCTGGGCCAGCGGAAATCAACTCTCTCCCACGCAAAGGCTGGATTCCCACTGCGAGCAACAAGAAAATCTAATCAGTCCTCAGGTGGGATGGGGAGGGTTTATCTTCCTTCCTCGTGAATTAAAAACCCACGTTAGAGCTGTGGAGGAGGAGGAGGAAGAGGGGGGCTTGCTGCACAAAAGCCTCAAAGGCTGTGAAAAGTTGCAAACCTCAGGCAAGCTTGCAAAACAAACTCAATGAACCCTGCGAGGAGGAGGAGAAATTTGCAGTCGCCTTGCCTTCCCTCTTGCCGCTCCGAGCCCTGCCCAGCCTTGAAGCTGGTGAAGGAGAAGAAGAGGAGGAGGAGGACTGTTTGGTGTGATGCCTGCATCCTCCCCAACCCCCCTGCATGGGCAGCATCTCGGCTTTGCAGCCTCCGTGGTCTGCCCCGCACAAGCTGTGGGCATTGCACCGGGGTGCTGGAGGCAAGCGGAGCCGTGGAGCAGTTTTGCAGAGGAGGTAGAATAGCGCTGCGGTGGCTGTCCACGCCCTGTTTTTTGCCAGCCAGCCAGAAGATAGGAGGAGGAGGTAGGGGGTGGCTGGGTCTTCCTGATCTTTGCTTGGTGTTCTTCCCCTTCCCACTCCCCCCAATCGCTTCCGAAAGATGCGAGAGACATTTTGGGCAAAGGTAGCAGCCGCTGTGTCTCCCCCAAGGATGTGGGGAAGTTGGACACCGACTTCGGAAGGCAAGCAGGTGTGGTGGACCACTGGGAAGGCAAGTGTGGAAGGCAGGCAAGCATGGCAGGGCTGCATAGAAGTGGCTAGGCTGCTAGTTCCCTTCCCCACAGCCCTGCCATGCTTGCCTGCTATGTGGCCTTCCACTCGCCTGCCTTTGCAAGTTGGCCACGGGGATACCAGGAAGGCCATGTGGAAGGCAGGCAAGCATGGCAGGGCTGCGGGAAAGGAGTGGGCTGCTAGCTCCCTTCCCCACAGCCCTGCCATGCTTGCCTGCTTTCCATTTGCCTGCCTTCGCAAGTTGGCCACAGGGACGCCAGGAAGGCAATGTGTAAGGCAGGCAAGCATGGCAGGGCTGCGGAAAAGGGAGTAGGCTGTTAGCTCCCTTCCCCACAGCCCTGCCATGCTTGCCTACCTTCCACGTGGCCTTCCACTTGCCTGCCTTCGCAAGCTGGCCACGGGGATGCCAGGACATCTTCCCTGCATGGAAGGCAGGGAAGAATGGCAGGACTGCAGGCTGTGGACCAGTTTAGGGGCATGGCCAGCCAGTGGTTGTTACCGGTTCAGCAAACCAGCCCCAATCTCCACTACCGGTTCACCGGTCTAAACCAGTAGCATTTCACCCAGTGGTGAAATCCAATTTTTTTTACTACGGGTTCTGTGGGTGTGGCTTGGTGGGCATGGGGTGGCTTGGTCGGTGTGGGCGTGGCTTGGTGGGCATAGCAGGAGAAGGATACTGCAAAATCTCCATTCCCTCCCCACTCCTGGGGGAAGGATATTGCAAAATCTCCATTCCCACCCCATTCAGGGGCCAGCTAGAGATGACATTTGCCAGTTCTCCGAACTACTCAAAATTTCCGCTACCGGTTCTCCAGAACCTCTCAGAACCTGCTGGATTTCACCCGATTTCACCCCTGCTACAGCTATTCCTCCCTGTTTCATATCCCCCAAATGGGTTAAGACCAATTCTCAGAATTACTTGGGAACTACTAGAGTTTTGTTCCCAACACATCAGAACAGATCATATTGGGAAGGCTATTTTTCGATCTTGTATATCACAGGTTAGCCCCCAAAGGTTCACAATTTTGCTGATGCTTTCTTGTGGACATTTAATCAGAAGTAAAACTAGCAATGTAAATCAATATTTGTGAAGATTTTGTGACATATAAGATGGGTGGCCATACAGGTATTTTAAATTCATACAGTACATAGAAACATACAAATTTCTTGCATATTTGTTAACATGTGGCATTTTGATTAGTAATAAAAGTATTGTTCAAGTGTGAATTTTTTCTCATGGACCAGCACATTTAAAAAACTTTTGGTATTATAAAATAATTTTATCTATCCATTTTTTATCATATTATCATCTCTATACTAATGGGACATAGCCTCTCTGCCATACAAAGCTAAATAATAAAATTGTACAAATACCTCATGTGACAAATAGAAAGCAGCTATTCCCAACGGCCAAAAACAACACAGCATGGAGAACACACTGAGCCCAAGATGATCTCTGGGAGGCATCATAAGGAAATGGTCTTCACTGTCAGTGTCACTTGAGTAATCACTCTAAAACAGCAAGAGAAAAGGACCATGATGTAGATAAGTTACTGGCAAGACTAGCCCTTTCTCTCTGCATCAGGCATACCTATGATCCATTTTCTTCAAGGCAACATAGAATTTTCTGGCTGAAATTATGGATAAGAGATATTTGTACTCTCCTGCAATGAAAGAACATTTTAGAAGAATCATATTTTTTAAAAAAGATTCTGATAGGATGACATTATTAGAAATTAATACAGAAAAGGTAACTTTTCATTTCTTAAAATTATGATGGAGGAGGGTCATCCTATTCTGCAACACAGTGACCACAGGGAGAACACAACAGCTTGCAGCAACAGCTTTTAAAAAGAGGAAAATCACCATGAGTGTCATAATGGTAAAACGTCATCCCTACACTATTTAAGAACACTGAAACATATCCCCACTATCAGTACTATCATAATACCGATAGTGGGGTGTGATGGTTGTGACATTTTTGCTTATCTGAATCAGCATGAGACCATGGCTACATGGGTTCAGGTCAAGGAACACATCTACTTGAATATATCCCTTGGGACACACTCTTGTATGTGTGAAGCCTTTCATCTTGTAAGCATTCTCTGTGTATACAAAAGCCAGACCAACACATATGACTTTGTCATTAGAATTACTTACTTGGCTCTGCTCACATTTTTAAGTCTGAATGGATCTTCTGAAGATGGCTAAAGTACAACTCATAACAAAAGGCCAAATGCCAAACATTTAATTTGCTATGGGGAAGATTAAAATACCAGATGCTACTCATCAACCAAATAAAATTCTTCCCCAGCTTTGTCAGCTGGCAACTATAGAAAAAGAATATTAAAAATCAAGGGCCTGGTGGCTCAGCAGACTGATAGCACTGTGATTAACACCAGCTGTCTGCAATTACTCATGTCCTAGTCACCTCTCGTCTGGACTATTGTAACGCTCTCTACATGGGGCTCCCCTTGAGGTGCACTCGGAGGCTCCAACTGGCGCAGAGTGCGGCCGCGCAGGTGGTGATGGAGCTCCCATGTAACACCTCTCCTGTGTGAGCTGCACTGGCTCCCGGTGGTCTTCCGAGTGCGCTTCAAGGTTTTGGTTACCACCTTTAAAGCGCTCCATGGCTTAGGACCTGGTTATCTACGGGACCGCCTGCTACCACCAATAGCCTCCCACCGGCCAGCACACTCCCATAGAGAGGGGCTCCTCCGGGTGCCATTGGCCAAACAATGTCGACTGGCGGCCCCTAGGGGGAGAGCCTTCTCTGTGGGGGCACCTACGATCTGGAACGAGCTCCCCCCGGAGATACGGAGGATCCCGGATCTTCGCACCTTCCGTTGCGCGCTTAAAATGTTTTTATTTCATCAAGCTGGCCTGGCCTAAATCTTCTCCTTTTTTAAATTTAAATTTTAAACACAAATTTTAATCTGTTTAATTATGGGGTATTTTAAAATTCAGCCTAAATTATTTAATTTGTTTTAATCTATTTTAAATTTTGTATCTCTGTGTTTTATCTTCTGGCTGTTCACCGCCCTGAGTCCTTCGGGAGAAGGGCGGTATAGAAATTTAATACAATAAATAAAATAAATAAATTACTGTAAGTTCGAATCTCACCAGGCTCAAGGTTGACTCAGCCTTCCATCCTTTCTAAGGTAGGTAAATTGAGGACCCAGTTTGTGGGGGCAATAAGCTGACTTTGTATAAATATACAAACGTATGAAGGCTATTGCTTAATGCATTGTAAGCTGCCCTGAGTCTCCGGAGAAGGGCGGCATATAAATCAAATAAAAAAAATTAAAAAATCAAATAGACTAAATCAGTAAAACATAAAATAAATGTTGGCCAACAGCCCAAACACTTGAAATAATAATCTTATGTGAGGTTCAGATAATATTGTATTTTCTGGCGTATAAGACGACTGGGCGTATAAGACGACCCCCGACTTTTCCTGTTAAAATATAGGGTTTGGGCTATACTCGCCGTATAAGACTACCCCTCTTCCAACGCACACCAAATAAACATTAAAAAACATCAACTGGCTCACTCACAATGTAAAAGCAGCTATGCTAGACCCAAAATGGCCCCTGCAACAAGCAGGAACCTCACACACCCACAAAGAGCCCAAAAAAACAACTTTCACACTTTACACACACACAACACAACACAACTGGCTCACCCACAATGTAAAAGCAACTGTACTAGACCCAAAATGGCCCCTGCAACAAGCAGGAACCTCACACAGCCACAAAAAGCCCAAAAAAACAACTTTCACACTTTACACACACAAAATTCCACATATAGCTTTGTAAGATTTTGTGTGTTTGTGTAGTTAGAGTGAAACACTACAGAAACACACTAAATCTCAGAAAGCTGCACAAATATTATTTTATTTTATTTTATTTTTATATGAAAACTAAATTTAAAACTTCCTAAACTTTAAATGGCTAGGTCTAAAAAAGAACAACTAAAAAAAAACCCAATTAACTATTTTTTTTAAAGCTCCCAAAGGGGAAAAAAACTTACCCAATAGATCAGGGGTCTCCAACCTTGGCAACTTTAAGACTTGTAGACTTCAACTCCCAGAATTCCTCAGCCAGCTTTGTTTTGCTGGCTGAGGAATTCTGGGAGTTGAAGTCCACAACTCCCTGCCTGCTTGATTTCAGGCAGGGAGTGGCTTGCTGATGGAATGGATTCAGGCAAGCGAAGCAAGGCAAGCGTTGCAACTAGCAGCTAAGGTAAGCAAGCTGGAGGGGGAAAACTTTTTTCCTTTTACATGACTCTGGCAATCCCAGCTGCGTTGCCTGATTAGCAGGCAACTCAGCTGGGATCGTCAGAGTTTGGATCACCAGAGCCATGTAAAAGGAAAAAGGTTTTTTCCTTTTACATGGCTCTGGCGATCCCAGCTGAGCTGCCTGATTAGCAGGCAAAGCTGGGATCGTCAGAGCTTGGATCTCCAGAGCCATTTAAGGCTGGTCTGCCTGGTTACAGGAGAATGACACCCAGCATATAAGACGACCCCCGATTTTTGAGAAGATTTTCATGTGTTAAAAAGTTGTCTTATACGCTGGAAAATACGGTAATACATCTGTGTAACATGGAATACTTTTACATTCAAAACAATGTTTTAATGTAATCCCTGCACTGTGGCTATAGCAGTGTTTGATCAGCTATTGAGGTAGATGAGATTGGAAGCAGATGACAGTGAGACACATATACATTCAGATATTTGAATTCATTTCAAGCTGACTGATGATTAGTAGCTAAAGAGACACTAGCAAAACAAATAAGGCTAGGGAAAAGTCAGAGAAACTAGATCTAAACTGGAAATACAGCAGTCTTCCCTTGTTTAAGGGAAAAGCAGTAATATAAAATAGTGATGATACAAATCCAACCACCATCTAGTCTACATACCCTCTTATCTCTACTCCTATTACTATTGGCCAACTACACAATTTCACTCAGTGTGTTTAATTTCATTTCACCCAAGGAGCATCGGAGAGGAATACCTTGAGTTTAATATTCTTATAACTCCACAAAACTGTGAGACTCTAGGCACTTTATAGTAATAAATACACAATAATACTAATATAATTAAAACATAAACTAATTTCAATGTTGGTGGCTCTGTAATCAACTCAAAGGTCCTTCAGAAGATCCAGGTCTTTACCAATTGCTGGAATGCAGTAAGAATGGAAACCAGAGGGCAGAGAGCCTAGAGGACAGGTTACATAAAAGGGGAGCCTTCAAAAAAGAGTGCCCATCATCAGCCCTCCCTTCTATAGTGCCTTCTGTTAGGTGGTAACCCTTGCACGTGAATTCAGGCCATCCCAACCAAAAAAGGTCCTTTTATTTCTGAAGATCCAAGCCATATAGTTTTAAAGGTGGTAGTCAGCAGATTTTATACTGAACTTGGACTGGAACTCAGTTCCTATCCCCAATCTAGGCTCAACAATATCAAGTACTTTTGCTTATTCCTTGTTGTGTTTATACATTATAAATCTTAATAAAATGCCTTGGAATGCATAGAGCTGCTTTACTTTCAAATGCAGTTGTCCTATATCTCCTATAATTCCAATGTTTAAGGTTAATTGATTTGATTAGTATTATGGGTATTAGGGATACCATATTGGGGAAGGCTAATGAAGAACAATCTGTAAGATTTTGGTTTAGATTAATAAATCATGCTGTTAGAAAGGAGGAGAGGTTTCTCCTCCCCGAGGATTCGAATTTCCTGGCTGGGAGACCGTTTCGGCGCCACGCAAAACTGCGAGGGAAGCAAGCTGCGTGAAAGCAAGTTTTCTTTATTTTTTTCAGGAAGTCAAATCGAGCGAAGTCGCGGACCAGCGTTCCTGGGTGAGCTGACATCGTTACAAGGTAAGCGTACATTCTTATACTTTTCTGTACAAAGGAAATTCTCTGTTGCTTTTGTTGCTTTTGTGGGTCTTCCCTTTGTGTGTGTGTTCATGTGTTCTCTTATTCTAGTTTTTCCCCACTTGAAACTGGGTGGTGTCTGGGTTATTTGGTCTCGTGTTCTTTTGTTCCCTTTCATTCTTATTATTTGCTCCTTGCCTTAAGCTGATCATGTTGTTACCAGGTAAGCCCTTACCCCCCCTCCCCCCCCGCTTGACTCTTATCAGATTGCTTGGGCTATTGATTAAATCTTTTCCTTTTGCTAATCCTCTGCCATTCCTTTTGTTTTGCTCTCCTAGTTTCTGCTGTCTTGATAGTTCCTTTCCTGGCATGTCCTGAGTCTTTTGTGTGTGCCATTTCCCTGGGTCCTCTTTTGTTCCTAAATGGCCCTGATGTTCATGTGTTCTATTTTGGGAAGGTCATTTTCCTATGCCCGTGGCCTTTGCCTTTCTGAGTTGATTATGTCCTACTGGCCCTGGCACTGTCTTGGTGGTGTTCCCCTCCTACAATGGGAATATCTAATGGACTTGCCAAGGGGAAATCATAGAAGATATATGAGTGTCATTAAGAAAAAAAACTCCTTTTACGACCCTGTAATCCCTTATTTTGAGACAGAGTCAGGGCAACTGAATGGAGCTGAGCATTTACTGGCCGGATGCCCTTCCTGACCCCATGTAGAGTTTGCAGCAGATATTTTCTCTTTGTGAGAGAGAAATATTTGCCACTACCTGGGATTGAACTCTCAACCTTACAAGTGGGAGGTGAGTGTCTTCACCACAAGGACACCATGCCACTAGAATAGGAGAAAAAAATAATGCAAAAGGATGTATCAAATAAATCACAATAAGAAGGAAATTTGGAGTACAAGTTAAGAGTTCTGATCAATATTTCAAAATGATACAGCTACTGGGACACACTGCTGACAATGACAATGTCAAACCCAGCATCTTTCTTTAAAAAAGTTACTTGGAGCTATATATTAGTTGCCAACAGACAGGGGGGGAAAACATTATTTTAAAAATGTCCTTAGACTCCAGAGTAAAATTAACGGTAGCATTGCCAAATAGGCAGTTGAGAGACAGCCAAATGAAGGAGGAAACTTGAATATTTTCTTAATTTGAAGTGATTTGAAATTGAGCCACAAGGAACTGGGGGTTGTTTTTTTTTTAAAGTGAAGCTACAGAAGGAACAATGAAAAAGGAAAGCAATTTCATTAATTGACCCCTAGATTACTTCAGTTCAAATAACTGCATCCAGTTTGAATGTAGCACTTCATTCTAGCACTTCAATATCTGTGTCCCTTCAGAATATATTCAACAATTGGCTTACCACAAGCTAACCACCTCTCCCACAGACATCCAATACAATCAATCAATTTTTATTACAGTCATAGTTTATAAACAACAATAAATAAATAAATAAATAAATAAATAAATAAATAAATAAATAAATGACAAAACATTGTATTACAATCGGTGATGGATTATCAGTGAGCGGTTAAAGTCTGCCTAATTTTGCACACAGCGTAACAGAATTTGGCCACATTCAGAGAAATTACTTTGTACTGGTCTGATAACAGTTGTACGTAGAAGAGATCGGTATTTCCCGGATATTTTATTCTGTGATGTATTATAAATTGAGCCTGTAAATTCTTATAAAGCCGATACAGGCCACAATGAGCCACACCTTTATTGCTGCAATCAACACTGCAGCACAAAGCCCAGACTTTTACACTTGTGCCAACGTACAATGCAAGTATGTAAGTCATATGGTTTTCATCATGAAGTTGTCACCCTTTTGTGAACACTTATCCTTTTATTAAACAGCTGTCAGGAAGCATCAAAGTATCTTATTTCTTAATGTTTATTTTCATTTTTTAAATATTATTTGATTGTATTTTATTTGATTGTATGTCCCACATAGGAGAGACAAAGCTAGCTTCCACTCCGGGAGTCTCCCTGCGACATTTTAACCTCTTTAAAGACAAGAGCTTAAGTGATAGCGATATCCTTGGATGCTTGAATGCAATGAAGAACTGGAACAGAATATTTTTCAGTTTCATGTGAACTTCATTTTTCCCCCTTTTAATTATAATATTAATGGGATGGCATCCACATAATGCATATTACCTTTGTATTCGTTAAAAAAATGTAGTTTGGGGTTTATTTTTGCTAGAATTTTTGACATAAGGTCAACAAGCATGCTTAACACTTGAATTGTTTCCAACTAATTTAGGTGTTTCCACATATATTTCAAAACCCAAATAAAGGATTTAGATTTAAAAATAGCTGTTAGAGAAACATCTAATATTTACTTTACAGTATACTGTACACAATACTAGTTACTCACATCCTATAGATGGATATACAGGTAGTCCTCAACTTATGTTCACAATTGAACCCAAAATTTCCGTTACTAAGTGAGACATTTGTTAAGTGAATTTTGCCCCAGTTTACATCCTTTCTTGCCAAAGTTGTTAAGTGAATTACTGCAGTTTATAATTAGTAACACAGTTGTTAAGTGAATCTGGCTTCCCCATTGAGTTTGCTTGTCGGAAGGTCACAAAATGGGATCACATCACCCTGGGACACTGCAGCAATCATAAATATGAGTCCATTGCCAAGCATCTGAATTTTAATTATGTCATCATGGGGATGTTGCAACAGTTGTAAGTGTGAAAAATGATCATGTTACTTTTTTCAGTGCCGTTGTAACTTCAAATTGTCACTAAACAAACTGTTGTAAATTGAGGACTACCTGTATAAGGCTACAATTTGTCACAAAAGCAACATGGTACTCCTTATGCTGCTTCAGTAATGTCTGAATCTTTCTATTCTATTCCATATTGTGCTCTGAATTATACAATTTATTCTTTTTGGACTTTATTTTGGTATATAATTTTTGCTGTTTTAAGAAATGAACCAGCTAAATAAACCAACAGTTTTGGAGATCTTAAAGCTGATTCATACTTGAGAGCATATCAGTTGACTTATTTTAATTTCTTCCTATGAACCATGAAGTACTTAATAATCTTTTGATAGATTGGTCAGTTTCTTCTATTAGCTGTAGAAACCTCCTAAAATCTTGATCCCAGGAAGCATTTCTTATGTTCTAAGTATCTGTATATCTCAGAATTATTTCAGAGAGATTAGATTTCACCCATCTATACTGATTTTATACATTTCCATGAAAACACAAACACAATCACATAAACATAAATATACAAGAAACCTATCCAGATACAGTTTTTAGAGGATGAAAGTTATAGCTTGTAGCTTATCATGTAAACCAGTGTTTCCCAAACTTGGGAACTTCAAGATGTATGGACTTCAACTCCCAAAATCCCACAGCCAGCCATGCTGGATGGGGAATTCTGGGAGTTGAAGTCCATACTTCTTAAAGTTCCCAAGTTTGGGAAACACTGATGTAAACCATACCCGCTGCATTTTTATATATACAATCAGTTACAGGAGCTCTGCACTTTTCACACTGATCACTGTATGTTTAAAAACAACTTTCTCACCTTTATTTCTGCTCTAACCATCAGCCCAGCAAATAAGACAATATTTCCTGAACTTCTACAATCAGAAGAACCCTTTCTTTCTGAATTAGCACTGTCTACACAATGGATTCTTGCATCCTATAAGGTTCCATCTGGACAAAAACACCTTGTTAATTAGGGTTTCTTGCCCACACCTCCCAATTCTGAATTTGACTTCTGATGGAAATGAAGTCAATCAAGCAAAGTGGAAATCATCTTTGTACATGGATCCTCTTTCTTTCTGCTTTGGGACTACTTGAATGATACTGTTACATCTGTTGCAGCAAAGGAAATGAAAAGGAAGAAAGTAACAGTGATTTATCTAATTTAACAAGCCGTTTCTGTGGGTGGGCATTATTTCATTATTTAAATAATGCTAACAAGGTTAGCATGTTTTAAAACAGAATGTATCCTACCACAATTTATCCTATCATATTATTTGCAATTGACAATATACCAAGAAAACTTCCCTGACCTCTAGTTCTTGGAAGTCGTCGTCGTCATCATCATCATCTTCTTCTTCTTCTTCTTCCACATCATAGGAGAGGGTCTGGATCTTAATCTCATCTGCAGATAGACTGACAAATTTGCCTTCAGGATAATCCAGGCAGCCTTTGGTGGGTGACTTGTCCTCAATAAAAGTTGTTTCACAGCATTCTGCACTCAAGCTTTCTCCCCAGGATCGTAGCATGCTTTCTGAATAGAGGATGATGTTTGGATGATAGCGGGATTCTACTGTCTGTGGCAGAGTACTGGGGTCAAGAAGCTGTTGTATTGGGTCATTTGGTGGATAGAGAGGCCCAACTGGCCGACCCTGATACTGAGCAGTTGGATACACAGATACCAACCCCTCCCTGTTTTCAGCCATTAAGTTCCTTGTGTTAATCAACCCATTCTTCTTCTTGGCATCAATTGCCTTATTATGCTTTTTAAGCACACCTTTTTGTTTAACTAAGCCATCCATCCTGGATTCCTCTGTTGTCTCAATGAATTATCATTTGTCTGACAAAAATCACATTTAAAAAAAAATATTCCATTTTCCTGAGAAAGAGAAAGAAAGAGAGAGAAAAAGAAGGCTCATTACAGAAGGGAAATAAGCACCCGTCTTTATGCTGATCTAATGCCAGCTCTTAAGAATTGAAAATAAATTTAGCCCTTGCAGATGCAAATCATATTACAAATGTTCCTTGTTAATGAACTGAAGATAGTGCTGAAAATTATTTTACAACAGAGAAGTTTTTTATATCGTTGGACAGTTAATGCAGCGTAAGGTCCAAGAGCCAGAGAGGTGATCCATGAAGCATCTGGCTCAAATCACCTCTCTGAACTAGGTCTTAGATAAGTTAATATTGTTCAGACATTCTTACATATACAAAATAATACTCACATTTAGAGATAAGATATAAAATAAATTGGAAAGGAATATATTTGCAAAAGGTAGAATACAAGCATTCCATTGTAGGAAGTTAACACCCACCCTTTTCGTGGAAGAGTGAAATATTTTAGGAAATATGAAAAAGGCAGAATATTATATTTCCCTGGATGAGAAATATGAGAAGCATATTTTACAGACAAAGCAGCTCCCACCTTCCTGCCCCCCACTCTTTGTCAATGGGCCATTAAGGCCTGGGCCAGTCTATTCTACATAACAAAATCTGCCTCCTTCAGGCAGAGCCATAGTAGGAATCATAGGAATCCAACAAAGATAGGATTAGCCCTCTACACAATAGCAACAGAAACTCATCACATGTGACCTGGGAAGCACATGTGACCATCAGCCAGCAAGGCCCCCACCTCCTGGGAGTCTGACAACCAATCAGGATACTCTTTCGGGCCCCCAAGAAATGCAGAGCCAGAGAGAGCATAAAAAACCGAGGATTTACTATATCTGCCCCTTTTCTGTTCAGGAACTCAAGCCATGTGATCCTGTCCACCATTAAACCATCTTTTTCCAGTGTCTTTTTCCCCACTTGGAGCAGAACCTAGAAGGATGTTTCTTCCAACACCATCAAACACTGTCCTCCTTTTTTTAAAATGTATTATTTCAACTCACTAATTCATTTTACAGATTTAACACTATTAATAATTTGGACAAAACAGGTTAAACATATGACTTTTACAGTTATTTTATGAATAACTACAATCAAAGAGTTCAAGTGCAATGATGGGACCAATATTCTCCAACATTATTACAACCAATCCCTTTGAGGTTTTCTAATTATAGTGTTTCAGAAGTGACTACTTAAATGCTTAAGGCCTTGTCTTCAAGAAAAAAAACAAATTTAATTTAATTGGTTAAAAACTCATTCCACTTAAAAGAGTGAGCATTAATTGTACCTCCAATGATATCACTGCAGGAAGAATCAGTGTGCTAGGCTTTGGTCTGGAGCATCTAATAAATGCAGAAGCCAAAGACAGCATCCTGTAAATCCTACAGTTTGATTCACTTTGTTCAGCACGCACAGCACTCCCCCACCCATGCTGTAGTACAGCCAACACATCATTTAATATAAAAAAGCTTACTTGTTCACATTTATATAAAAAGAGAATCGTGCAAATATGGTAAAGAAGTAGTGCTTATATTGAATTAAGATCATATTTCATGGGCACAGATTTGGTATTGTAGGAGGTTAGCACCCACCCCTTTCCTGGAAGAGTGAAATATTTTAGGAAATATGAAAAAGGCAGAATATTATATTTCCCTGGATGAGAAATGGATAAGTATGTTTTGAAGCAGCTCCCATCTTCCTGCCCCCACCCTTTGTCAATGGGCCATTAAGGCCTGGGCCAGTCTATTCTACATAACAAAGATCTACCTCCTTCAGGCAGAGCCATAGTAGGAATTGCCAAAGATCCAACAAAGATAGGATTAGCCCTCTACACAATAGCAGCAGAAATTCACCACATGTGACCTGGGAAGCATGTGACCTGGGAAGCACATGTGACCACCAGCCAGCAAGGCTAGCTAAGACCCCCACCCCTTGGGAGTCTGACAACCAATCAGGATACTGTTTCAGGGCCCCAGGAACCCAAGGATTTACTATATCTGCCCTTTTCTGTTCAGGAACTCAAGCCATGTGATCATGTCCACCATTAAACCATCTTTCCAAGCAGTCTCCATGTTTCCAGTGTCTTTTTCCCCACTTGGAGCAGAACCCAGAAGGATGTTTCTTCCTACAGTACCACAACTATGTAATCTGTCCAGAATTAAAAATTTATTTATTTATTTATTTAATTTATTTATTATATTTCTATACTGCCCTTCTCCTGCGGGACTCAGGGCGGTGTACAGCCAAGATAAAACATAGCATATAAAATTTAAAAACATTTTAAAAAACAATTAAATAATTTTGGCCCAACTTTAAAACAACCCAATTAAAACCGAAATTCGATTAAAAACTGAGAGGATGGGATCAAACCAGCCCAGTTAGATGGAACAAGTATGTCTTCAGGGCCCGACGAAAAGTCCGGAGGTCTGATATCGTGCGTATCTCAGGGGGCAGGTCATTCCAGAGGGCAGGTGCTGCCACAGAGAAGGCTCTCCCCCTGGGGGTCGCCAGCCGGCACTGCCTGGCCGACGGCACCCTGAGGAGGCCCTCTCTGTGTGAGCGAACCGGTCGGTGGGAGGCTATTAATTTTTAGGTTTAGGAACTGTCTGAGTCCCAGTTTGAAGTACCTTTCTTTTCCTCCATTTTTCAGAGAAACCAACTTAGCTCTGTTTGCAATCAACCTAAATAGTTTTACTCCTCCATAGAGCTGGAGAGCTGCCCTTTGTTTTTCAGAGTAGGGCTTTTTTCTGTTGATTTCCAGGATGTTCCTGAGGTCATGTTCCTCCATTTCCAAGTACATCTTCCAGTGATTTCCCACCCCCTCTGTCCAATCCCTCTTACATATCTCAAGATAAGGCCTTTTAAATAGGAACAGTATTCTGAAATAGGATTCTGAAATGATTAAACTTTTCTTCTCCTAGCCATAAAAGAGGGTGTCTTGGTTTATGTACTATGAGGCATGTCCTACTCAGGAAGCAAAGATTTTTTTTTTGGCCATCTGGGATGAGTGTGTCAGTCAATGTCTGGCAGATCATGGAGTGCCCCTTTAATGCAAAGACAGATTGCAGTTAACTGTTAAGAAAAAAAATTCTAACAGTAATCAACTGTGGGGCCAATAAATCAGAGATGATGGGCTGCCCTTTGCAAATGTGTTCAAATGGGAATCATCATTGCTGATGCTTTTGTATGAATTCCAGTACTACAATGGAGGGAGATGGGGTTGAATTATAGCCTCCTAAGCAGCTAACTCAGAAATATTGTCTTTTTGTTCAGTATTCCCTGTCAACTAACTTATGCTTCGCACAAAATTATTTTCTTAGCCCAGGAATAAGCAGCTGTTTATGAGATGCAGGAAATAATCAGACTTACAGTATATGGCTTTCAGAAAAGAAATGTAACTTTCAAAAGCAGATGGAGCTAAAAGTAAAATGTGGATAGGGCCACAGTAAAAACATAAGCTGTGAATATTAAGTAAACGAATAACTAAATAAATTGGCTGTCTCTGGAAGCTGCCAGATAGAACTTCCAAGAGATTAGGCAGAAGAGCTTTTAAGTTTTAGGAAATAATTATTCCATTTCAATTTTACCTCTGTAATATTGAGTAAAAAAACAGTAATGAATTATATATTCCATTGCCAAAATTAAAAGTAAATAATGGTACTGATAATAAAGTGTTTTAAGAGCTTTATTAAAATTATTAATAGCTTTCACCATAGGTAATATATAATGTTTATTTTTATTTTTCATTTTAAGACTTCACAAGTCCTGATACAGATCTTAATGATAATGACCTTCATTAGAAATGGACAAGCTCTTTAAAGATTTAAAGGACTTCCGGTTTGGTTCCTGTCGCCGAAAGACGTTCCCTTTTTCGGACCGCCAGCCCCGCTGCCTGTCAGAGCCGCTTCGATCAAGAGAAGCGGCTCGGAAGTTCCCGAATCCTGAAGGATTAGAGGAATAGAGTCGGCGAGAAGCAGGTAGAGCCCCTGTGAGCCCCCAGATAGCTTTCCTTTGCTTCTGGGGAGGAAACAGGCGCGGCTCCCTTTCAGCTCGCCGAGACTCCAGACAGCGTGGGACGAGTCTACATAGCGTAGAACAAGGCGGCAGGACCAACCCTCCTACTGAGAACAAAGCAAATTCAAACAAACAGGGTGGAAGAACAACTTGAACCATGAAACTGCAAGTATTACTAGCCCTGTGACTAATTTTAAAACAGAAGAGTGAATGAGTGAAAGTCTCTTGAAAATGGCGCCCAGCTTCAGCGTTAACGAGAGCTGAAAGCGAGAGTGGATTAGCAAAGTTATTTCAATAAGTTACAAAGCAGCATTGTCTGTAACAAGTGGAGGAAAAGAGAATCCTTTTTAAAACAAGCCTGATTTTGCTTCAATTTCACCTTTAATTTGACTAAACCTGGGGGAATTTTTTAGAGGACTTTGTGGTGGAGGAAAGGGAAAAAGGATTTCCTTTTTTGGAAAAGCTAGACTACGTGGCAGGATGGCTTCTAAGCAGACTAAACAGGATGTGAAGGCGGCGGGGGCGGGGGATCCCCCACACATAAACCTGAACAGCAGCCTCCAGCCAGCAGAGCCAGAAAAAAGAGATTGATCTTGAAAGTTTAAAGGATTTTATTACTCAGGCTTTGATGAGGCAAGATGAAAATTTGGATGAGAAGTTTAAAAAGTCACAACAGGAAATCAAGCAGGAGATCAAAGAAATCAAAGAGGTGATGCAAGAAAAATATGACAAGGTGACCAAAAAATTAATGACAGTGGTGACTGGATTGTCAGAAGTAATTATTAAAACTGATAATAAGGTGGAAGAACTTAGATCAGAAATGGATGTCAAAATGAAGGAGACTGACTATAAAATCTTTGATGCTGACAATAAAAGGCAGAGACTTGAAAATGAGATTACAATGATGCAGTTCAGGTCTATGGAATTTGCCATAAGGCTGAGAGGCTTAAAAGAGAATGACAGAGAAGACCTGAGAAA